AAAGAAAGAAAATGTAGGGACTGAGCAGTTGGGTAAAGGACCAACTGGAAAATTGGCAAGAATTAAAAGCTAGCTTTAGCTAAATATGTAAGGACACAAGATGACAATTAGGTGAATTTTTGCAGTTATCACTCAAATGAAATAAAGAAAAAGACATATAGTGTACATATAGTGATCAATATATCCCTTTATTTTAAAAATTAAAACAGCTCCTATAAAAATATCACTTGCTGCTTTCTTCCATTCATCAGCTGCACCTAGGGTTTATAAAAACATCAATGAAGACTAGTGAATGAAGTGGTGGATGAAATGAAGCACAGATGCAGAACAGGGAAATAATGCCAATTAAAGGCAGCAAACAATCAGAATGAACCATCTCTCTAAAGTCCAAGATGCTTTTGTTGTAGATTAAACTAAAAGTTGCTTTACCAACCCCTTATAATTGGGTAGATACCACTGTGGTTATGGATAGTAACTGGTCAAGCATAACTTACTTCATCATTGAGCCAGTGAAAGTTCCTCAGGGTCTGGATGTCCCCTCGAGTGATGCGCAATTTGAAAGCACTACTTAGGATCTCATCCTGTGGGCCATGGCCCAGGGCGTTACTGATTTCCTTTTCCATGTCCTAAATTAGAAAGTCCAGAGGTTGCTACTTTAATATAAAGCCACTATCAGAGACTGAAAAAGCCAATTTCACCTCTGTTAACACCTGACCCTTGAGAAAATATACCTCAAAGACCTACTAAATTAACGTATGAAAAGATTTAAACTTAGACTACAAAAGTCTTACTAATGGTTATAAAAAATGCTAGTTGAATTATTAGCTTCTGAAAATAATTTGTTAATATTATTTACATTTAAGGTAGTCTCAAGTATCCCACTGCCATTTATTGAGCACTATGGGCCAAACATGGTACCAGATGCTTGAAGCACATCATTGATCCCTGCCTCTGGGGAAAATAAATTTTATGGAAAAGGCAACACTCACAGAATTTAGGTTACGTGCTCGAACTCATGGATTATTAACAGGCAGAGCCACGATTTGAACCCAGGAGTGGCTAACTTACTAGCCTTTCCTCCTTTCAAAATACTTTATTAAGAGTATCGTCATACTTTCTTTATTTCCCTCCTAAACTATTATTTAACTACATCAAAGTAATAAAATTAGGACACCTAAGAGATCACACTATTCATCTTGGATATGAGAGTAAGCAAACAGGCAGAAACTGGGAAACTAGGCAGCAGTCTAACCCTGAGTCCTTTGTGAATAGATGGTTTCATCTAAAAAATTATGCAGATAAATACATATTTAAGCTACAAGACCAAATCTATAAACCCAACAGAAATTATTTCAGACCAATATTGTTAATATTGCTTGTCTCTACTGCACACAATTTTGTAATTTTATGGCTCTCTCGCCACCTGCATGCCCAATATATAGTAAGTGCTCAAGAGGTAATCACTGAATAGGACTGACTACCACCTACTAAGATGACAATGAAGAAGGAGCCAATAAAGAGTAATAATATATCTAAATTGACCTTAAAAGTTTAAGGAAGACCTAGACTTTAAAGTTTGTACCTTTAACAAATTGAGGATTGAGTTTTAGAAATAAAAGTGGGGGGGGGGGGGTAGGAGCCAAGATATGAGCTCACCTTTAAAATTTTTAACTACCTTCATTTCCTTATTTTCTATAAGTTTTTACTATTTTCAAATGCAATGATCAACAAAAGAATTTTAGTAAACCATAGTCACTTAAAACTGCAACGAACTCATTCCTCATGCCAAACCCATTCTATGTAACCCAAAACATTTTATGGTTAGAGACTATACAAAGAATCCATTATATTCCAAGATATGTAACAATTATGTCTACCCACATTTGTTAAACATTAAACTGATCCCTTAGGCGACCTTCACAGATCACTAATGATCCATGTAGTCAGTGACTGAATAGCCTGTATGACGAATTTCTTTCATAAATTTATCCATATCCTGGAGAAACTCTTCAAAACAGTCACTCAAGTCTTGAATAACTTGGGTTATTCAAAACCATGTCTCTTATTCTGAGCAACACATGAAATAATACCTCTGTAAGTTCAAGAAGATCATCTGTTCTTTTATCTCTCTCTTTGCCTGAGCAATTTTTTTCTTTTGTCTCAAGTGTTGACATTTTCCTCCTGAATAAGCCATTGCTCCCACTGCCCAGGCGGAGTCGGGCTGACACTTCTTCGGACAGGTCAGGTTCCAGCTGGTGTCCCCTCCTCTGATTAAAAAAGTTTCTATATTCTATTGACTTGTTTAATACTTGTATATGTAAGCATACATAACTCATGAAATATAAAACAGTGACATTATCTTGAAGGAATAGAGAATTAACAAATCATCATATGAGTAGCTTTAGCATATCTGTTCCTGCAAGAGGGACCAAACAATGTTCAAGATATAAGGCTCACAGGACACCTCCATTACAAAACCATGAAACAGAACACCACTCATCATTTTCCCTGAAGGTAAAACAAGAAAAGTATTTTTCAGTTCTCTTATCCAAATTAAAAATAATTTAGTTAAAAAATATATTTTAAAGTATTAAACAGCAAAACATACAACCCATAATCCCATCACCTAGAATAAACCACTGCAATCCATATATTAAGTAAACTTCTTCTAAAAATTATAAATTATAAAAAAAAATGTGCAAAACATCAATGTATCACTTAAGTTTTACAAAATCAACACCAATGTAACCACCATTCAGGTCAACAAGTAGCATCCTGCCAGCATCCCAGAAACTCTGGTAAGACCCTTCCTTATCATGACCCTATGTAACCCTTAATACTGAATTTAATCTGTACTCAAACTATTTTTAAAATTTGGAAATTTATTTAGAAATAAAGTTTTGGACTAGAACCACATTCTCAACACACCTAGCCAGTACTCTTCACTCTAGCTAACTGCCAGGCATACCAGTCCTGGGAAGCCAGTAGCTGCTGGCTCTTCCCCTGGTCGCAGACAGCAAAGCCTTCAAGTTCAGCAGGGGTAGAAGTAGGATGTGGTCTTCAAATTATTACCACCACAACCACCACTACCCCATCCATCTTCTCTCAGGCTTTCTGCATAGTTTTTGTCCCATGGGTGGTAAATGATAATTATACACAAAGGGCTTCACTCTGAATCACCAGAAATGGGGAAATCAGAGAAGGTAATGTTCTAAGATTTATGACTTAAGACCATGGCTTAAAACTATAACTTAGGCCCTAACCGGTTTGGCTCAGTGGATAGAGCGTCGGCCTGCGGACTCAAGGGTCCCAGGTTCGATTTCGGTCAAGGGCATGTACATGGGTTGCGGGTACATACCCAGTAGGGAGTGTGCAGGAGGCAGCTGATGGATGTTTCTAACTCTCTATCCCTCTCCCTTCCTCTCTGTAAAAAATCAATAAAATATATATATATTTTAAAAAAATTAACACAAAATAAAAACCAAAAAAAAAAAAATACAACTATAACTTAGGCCCTACTGGTGTGGTTCAGTGGTTGAGCATTGACCCATGAACTTACTAGATCATGGTTCGATTCCCAGTCAGGGCATATGCCTGGGTTGTGGGCTTGATCCCCAGTAGGGGGCATGTAAGAGGCAGCTAATCAATGATTCTCTCTCATCATTGATGTTTCTGTCTCTCTCTTCCTCTCCCTTCCACTCTGAAATAAAAAAAAAATATATATATATATATTTTTTTAAAAGAGTATGACTTAGTCGTAAGACTAATTCTTGTAGTCCCCTAGACTTTGGTATTTGTATATATCTAAGATGTGAAATAATCTAAAACTTCAAGTTTGCATTTAATTTAGGAATGTTTTTTTTTTGGATATGGAATGTTTGCCATTATTATAAAAATATTGGTATTGCTATGGAGATCACTGGAACACATTATTCTGATAACTTATATAGAAAAAATCTAATTAAGTATGAGATTGATACTATTTTCAAGTAAATCTAAAATCTTGACTCTGAAAATAAAGTCCTGAGTACATATCTCTCCAAGAGATGTATGGTTTTTAAAAATTCTCTAAAAGAAGCCAGGCAACACCCATAGGGCTGAGATGGAGGCAAATTAGTCTCTCTTACAAACAAGGTGGCTATCACACAGCAATAAAATTCCAGCAACTCAGAAGGAAGCTATCTTCCTTGAAGTTGTATATCTTCAATGTCTGTTGATTTCTCAAAGAAAACAACAGAGTTAGCAATCAAATTAACATATATCATCTTTCTTTTTTTCATGGGCACCAAAATATTAATAGTAAGTTAGGTGAAAGAGAAAAAATATATAAATTTTAACTAGGGTTTCTACTTACACCTTCATTTTCAAGTCTAATTCCAACTGTCTTCTCTATATCTGAAATTCTCCCCTTTGAACACCTGAGGGGGAAAATATAGAGATTACAGATTGGATTATTTTAACCTGGTACGTGTAAGACCAGTTTTAGAAATAAAACAGAATCATTTACAAACAAAAATGGCCTTGAACTATCATCCAAATCCTAAAGCATGTAGAACTGCCTTCACTGGTCACATACTAGAGATGCCCACCGTACCACACTCTTTTCTAAGTGGCTTCTGCACCTCCCAACCCCTAATGCCTAGGAGACAAAGGCCCACTCCCAAGTTAGGGTGGGCATCTGACACAAAAGCTATGTATATACCCATATATGCTGACCAGCTAACCAGAGGTGAGGAGAGTTCACAATTGTTCAGACATGGTTACTCATAAATATAGCTTATAAGTAAGAAAATAATGTCAAAAGAAAACTTAGAATGAGCTGAACCAGGTACCTCTTTTCACTCCTCATTGGACATAGAGGTCCCCTTGTTTCAGCAGCTCTATCTGTGAGGATGGTAAAGAAAAATAAAGTGTCTTCTTTATTAATCAATATATAGCTAGAATTTCAACTTACACAGTCTCCAAAGTATTAAGACACTGACTTACATTGAAATGTTAGAATAAATTCCAAAGACACTAACCTCCTTACAAATCAAGTTGCTTAAAAATGCATAAATCTCTTTCTTCTTTAAATATAATCTTTAGTGTAAATTGATGTCTGCTCATTTGGAAAGCTATCATTTAGTGTCAAGAAAATTAATATAAGAAAAATAAAGAAATTAATTTTAGGCTCACAAAATATATACTACTATATATAAAAGCTAGGAATTATAATAAAGAGGTATTTTATAAATCTGTTTCATCTTGAAATAACCTTTTTACTAAATTATAGTACTGGGTAAACCAGTCAACACCCTGGGTCTAATAAAGTTTTAAGGTCACACCATCTTTCATAAGTACGCCATTTGTCAATTTTATATGCACATGGACTAAGTTCAGTATATTAAGATAGAGCTAAATCTGGGAACTCACATTGTTTTGGAACAAACTGAGTTGTTCTGACTCCATGACTTTGCTCTTCCCCCCAGCCTTTGGTCTTTAATGTATCCATGTGACATCTTTGAGAACTTAGAAACACAAAAAGCAAAGACGTTCAGATACAAAAGGAAAATCTACCATAAATACTCATTATCTCTGTCTGACAAGCTTCTCTAAACAGGAGTTATTGATTACCCTGAATCATCAAATTACAAGAGATAGCATGTAACACAGCACCATCTGGGACTAGGATAAAAGGAGTCTAATCCTGATTTTAATATTTCTGTCAAGTTACTAACCTCCAGTTGTTCTATTTGTAAAATTGCATGTTCTCAAGCCCCAGCATCACCCTAACTGAAAAATCTCGTATAAATTCAGGTCAAAAGTGGAAAATTTTACATATCCCCTAAATGATCCTAAACACCCATTAAAGGCAGGAATGTGACAAGCCAAAATAGGTTGAGGATTTTGTCGCGTGACAAAACCAATAGTTCACGAAAGCATACTGCTGTTTTCAACAGTTGGCTAGACAAAATGGAGAAAATATTACATTCTGACTTCCTACACTAAGAGAATTAAAATTTTAAAAATTCACAACCAAAATTAAAATTCCCAGATATTTCTTTGTTATTTCTGCACTCAACCAGCTAATCTTGTGACTGTTTCACCTTCAACTTGCTGTTACATAATTTCTGGGACAGCCCTCTGTGTATTTGCACTTGTTAAAAATTATCAAATGTACCTTACATCCTAAGCTCACATTATTTTTTGTCCCCCTTTTATAAGGCCCAGATATCAACTCCTCCTGCCAATCCTCATCTATTTGCTCAAATCATTAGAAGTATTAACAAAGAGTCTTATAAGAAAAACTTCTTATGACCTGTGTGACTTTAATCTTCTAGCTAAAGTGGAGGGTTTCCAATTGTGCTAAGATGCATCCACTAAGATGCCTCAGGAACTGTGTACATAGGGAGGTAGGGAGGTAGGTGCAAGGGCGGGGGGTGGGGGGGTGGGGAAGAAGTGAGGGACATGCAGGAAAGGAGGAGGGGGAAAGAGGCAGACAGAGAGACAGAGACAGAGATTGTGGGGAATGTGTATATTGGGAGTTGAAAAAAAACTCTGCTTCCTGATTTCAACCAGTGATTCCACTTTTCTATATCAGAGTTTTAAGTCAGAGTACACTTGAACAAGGATTCTAAAGCTAACAGAAAACTATATTTTATAAAAGCACTATTCTATATAACCATTACTAGATGACAAATTACAGGCTAGTTCTCTCCATGTTAATCTCTTTTTTCCCCCATAAAACCCTTTCTACCAATTCCCTCTCGAAAAATAAGGAAAAAAGATGTCTGGCAAAGCACTGATCTTGTTAGCTCATCTTTACCTATGATGAGTTGAAGTTACAGGAGGAACAGAGTTTCCATGAACACCTTCTTTAAGTCGCTCCCAATATACATCGGTACTTTCTCTTCTTCTTTTGAACA